GGTTACCAAGTACACCATTTGACTCAATAATTGCAAAGGTAGGAATTGACATTGCCCAATTGTCTCTAATTCTATGAAGAGTGTGCATTATGCATGTTTACCATTTCTCTTCACCAATCTATAAGTAGCCAAATCTTAGATATTATGGAAGTTCCCAACAATAAGTAGTAAGGAACTTTCTCATCCATTTCGTCAATTGCTACTACTACTACTACTACTACTACTGCTATTATTATTATTATTACTATTATTATTATTATTACTATTATTATTATTGAAAAAAAAAAGCGCACAACATCTCCCACCACCATCTAACCAGCTCTAAAATTTGTGCCAAAACTGCCAATATACAAATTCCTAACACCTAGGCTACGGTCATATTGTAGGGTTTGGAAGATGGGCCGCCTCAATCTTAGTCAAATGAGTTCAAAAGGTTGGTAGTCTTGTTTGCATAGTAAACGGTTGGCCCGGCCTTTAGAGGAAGCAGCTAAAAATAATGAGGTATGTCCCAAAGCGATTTCCAGTTACCTAGGATGAGGAGTGGGTTGTCATAGGTTTTTTCTCTAACTTTCAAGAAGCACAGATTAGCTCATTAAGATAATAAAGTCTAAACTAATATGAACAAATTGACAATCACATGCACCAAGCAAGAAACTCAAACAAAAGAGGAACACAAGATAAAGGATTATCCCAAAATACAAAAATAAATTACATAATAAAATCTGTGGAATTATTTCCATTAGATAAGAAACTGAAATCATGAACGGAAAAGCCGAAAAGCACAAATCAAGCTCCCCTGGGTCCACACTATCCAAATGACCACCAAGTAGGGGCAAGAAATTTGCAGCAAGAGACTAAATGGAAGAAGTTCTCGCCAATTCAAAACATGGTTTTATTTAGCTACATTTCAGGATAAAGACACAAATAAACATAAAAAATATGAACTATCTTCTACAAACTTGCAATAGTATTGTCAGAATCCCATAAAAGTTGTACATAATCAAACCTTATATCAAATGAAATGCCACTTTTCTTCTCCACAAATTTGATTATTGGCACACGAGCCTTTGATATCACCTAATTTGGAAAAGCACATGAAAAATCCAGATTGTAAGTTCTCTTCGCAGAAACCTTTCACAAGGTTGGGGGAGGGGGGAAATGAAAGAAAATGTTCCTCATTGAGAGATCATAGGGTCATGTCATGAACCTGTATCTTCTTTGCAACTCCTTTTTGTGAGAGAGCCCTGGAAAGAGCCTGTAACCCAAGTTGAGGACTTCTAATATCTGACCCTAAAATCACCAGCTGTATATCAAAGAGTAGCTCAACACGTTAATTTTAACTTCGACCATTATTGTTTCCACACCACAATCAGCCAACAAGTCATATATGTCTAATGACTGTGAATGGAAAGATTCATTCATAACACGGTAACCACCACAGAGCAGTATCACGCTCCATAACTATTTTTTCAATAAACAACTAATTACGTTTCTCATTTAAAAGCACATGCTCCTTAATTGGGTACAACAGCCTTTACAGGTTTCACATCACAGAATAAGTGGTCGAGTACAGGATGTCCAGGTTAGCATGATGCTTTTTGTTGCATGTCATGTGGAGGATTTGGAACCCAACCAGTACAGTATTGAGGGGTAGTTGTTGTTGCTGTTGTAACTTTTCTTTGGGGGGGATAAAAAGATATTGAGGGGTACTGTTATTGTTGTTAAAGTTAGGATTCTATTAACTCAACTTTAGGCAGAAGTAGCAGCACTTCAGTGAGAAATTTTAAGGAAAAATATCTTTTTACCAAGAAAGGAAATCTCAAATTTACTTGAAAAATAAGCAGAGTAAGCTTACATCAACATCACTAGTGGGAAGATATAACCCTGTCTTGAATGATCCGAAGACTTCTGGCTGGAAAAAGGAATAAGAATGATAAATTAAAACAACGAACTTCAACAGAGTAAATCAATCTGCTTCTGTACATCACAGATATAATGTGCTATATACTGATGGGAGGAGAACAGGAATCGTGAGAACAGACCTTGCAGTTGGGCCAGATATATCTGATAACATCAAAAACGCATTCTATGGCTGCATTACGAGATGCTTGCTCCTCAGGTGTAGGTGATAAAAACTCACAAAAATCTATTATCTCTGCAAATATAGCACACAGCAAATTTAGCTGCACAGCTTCTAGTTGAAAAATATGTAGTAGTATATAAATATGTGTACATAAATATGCATGCACACAACAACAACAAGAAGCCCAGTGTGGGATTGCCCAGTGTAATCCCACACGTGGGGGTCTGGAGAGGGGAGGGTCCAATAGACCCTCGGCAAATATGCATGCACACAATTAAACTTTTATCCAAGGGGTGTGGTCTAGTGGTCAATGAAGTGGAAGGAGGACCATGAGGTCTCATGTTCAAATTCTAGCGGAGGCAAAAGATACTTAGGTGATTTCTTCCCACATGCCTATGCCTAGATAGCCTTATCTAGCAGAGTTACCCGATACCCAAAGGCGGATTTAGGATTTGAAGTTTATGAGTTTTGAGGGACCTTGCGCTTGCCACCGAACCCACAGCCCATTCATGTTACTGGGTTCTAGTTTATTATACGTAAAGGATTTCTCAAACACATATATGGGGTCCGGGCTAAACTGCCAAACCCGTACCATATGTTGCATCTGCCCTCCCGGCACCAGTGTTGGTGAGAGGCAGAAACCATATGGAATAGTCGAGGTGGACCCAGGCTAACCGGATACCAGCATCATCAAAAAAAAAAATATGCACAGAAAAACACATGCGTGTGAACAGTACAGGCATACATCCATGATCGACACATATACAAAGCACATTTAATTGCACTGCTTCTAGAAGAGGAATCAAGAGGAGAGTCAGAATTTTAAGCTTATGGGTTTGGGATTCTAGTCCTTTAAAGTTATTGGGTTCTAGATTACTAATTTGTACATATTCAATGAATTTACAAATTACAAGGTTTGGAGCAAAGTTACTTGTAAACTAAAGAGAATGTTATACACATGCATAGATATACACATACACACACATATATATGTGTTTGCGTGAGCTTATTCATTCTTTAAAATCATATTTCAGTTGAGGCTTGATTATAGATTAATCACAACCAGAAGACATTAACGAGACAATTAAAAGCCTAGTTTGAAAAGCAAAATCGAGAAAAACTGAAACAGAGTTGCGAGAACTAAAAACGACGTCGCAATACCCTTATGAAGCTGAAGCATAGGACTCTTAAACCGACAATTAGCACGAAACCAATTGCCTTCAAGTCCTCTCGCTGTTTCCTTAACCGGCAACGGAGTAGCAGCAGCTGACGCCGGCGTCGAAACGGAACCGTTATTCAGCTCGGCGGCGTCACCGTCGAGGTCGAGTGAGAAGTAATCGACCGCGGCGGTTTCCGGTGAGGGACATTGGAGACTAGATAGAGAAATTTCGTTGCGGAATACGAGGTAAGGTTCATGTTCGTCGGATGACGACGGAGGTGGGTGGTCGGTGGTGGAGTTAGTGGTGGCGGAGAGAGGGCTAAGAGTTTCGTACAAAATGCCCTCAACCTCCATTGGTTAGTGAACCGCACAATGTGCCGCGCGTAGTGTACGGTCGGGGAATTAAGTTGGACTGTTTTAGTGGGGTATTTTGATACGGTCGAAAAAGTTGACGGGTAGATTATAAACCCCGGATCCAATTTAGGGTTTTGCTTTGATTTTTATTTATGGGTTGGGGCAATAGAAATCAAAGTAGCAAATTCTAGTTCTAGTACAATATAAATGGAGAGCTCTCGAGTTTGAACTTTGGAAATCGTCTTTTTAGAATGTATTTTATTTCCAAAATAAGACTTTTCAATGTAATTTTATTTGGGCTATAAAAACGAGTATCAAATACCAAATTCAAAAATATTCAAAAATAAAAAAAGTTACCAAATTAAAAAATATTCAAAAATAAAAAAAGAAAGGAAATAAAAACAAATCGAATTAATTTACGTTGATGGAGGTTTGCTATAATGATAAAATATTCACACACGCAATATTTATACCAAACTAATTAATATTAGTACATGTAACATATATCGATAATTAAGCAACATGTAGAGCCCATTCGGATATTAATACATGTAACATATATCGATAATTAAGCAACATGTAGAGTCCATTTGGATTAGCTTATTGTAAATAGTTGATAAGCTTAAAGTGTTGAAAAGCATTTTTAGGCATTGAAACTGATTTTTTAAATAAGCATTTATGTATTTGGATTGACATGCTGAATTGGTAATAAACAGTTGATGCGTTTGGTAGAAAAGTGCTGATAAATTATTCTTTTGTTTATACGACTAAAATACCATTAAAACTTTATTAAAATATTTTAAATTTAAAAAGTTCAAGAAAAGGATGAACAACGAATATAGTAAGAGAAAGTTAGAAAATATATTTTGGAATTTTTTTTGTGAATTAAAAATTGTTGCTAAGGATAAATTAGTAAAAGTCTTGGTCAAACTAAAAGTGCTTATAATCTAAAAGCCATAAGTTGGGGGTTGCTGATTTTAGCTTATAAACACTTGATTTGTAAGTACTTTGGATGTTTACCAGACACGTAAATAAGCCAAAAAGGTATTTATAAGCCAATTTAACCGGCTTATAAGCTTAGCCAAACACCCTCATATTCTCATTTTAATATTTAAAAGTTAAAGAACACATTATTTGATTTAGTTCTAGGATAAATAATTAGTACCATTCTGCATACAGATTAGCCATCCCACTATGTGGCCAGTGTACTTCGGAACCCTGCATGGTGCAACAAGCGGACTAAAGTGGCTCGAATTTAAACAGTTGTTCGAACTTTTCGTGTTGGATCCTTCAAAAATGCATAACTTTTGGAGGACCCTACACGCATTCAGCAGAATTTACGAAGAGTCCGAGTAACGCAAACACTCTATAATAACTTTCATATTTGATGTTAACAAATTCTGAGAAAGAAACCATGAATAAGCCTGTATAAATTATAGGAGCTATACATATTATAAATCAGATGAATACATCATGGTCTAAAGAGCTCTACCTTTGCTGTCTACAAACTCATAAAAACCAGAAGAAAGAAAACACTGAATAAGCTGAAGGGAAGGATAGCATGAAGCTATACATATCCCGCCACGGATTATGCAGAAAAGAATATTTGGTTACTTTACATTATATTACCCAATTATGTCGATAATTGCACCATAATAAAGTTGAACAAGTTGTTCAACATTAAGTCAGTTCTATCTATAGTCAAAATCCAATGTCAGCATCCCTATACATCATTCTCATTGATCAACCATGGAAATAGCTCATTTTCTCTTGCCAGTTCCTCTTTTTTTATTGAGGAAGCTAGTGATAGGTCCTGATTGCGCCAAGTAAAGAAACTTCTCACAATCCTTTGCACCAATCTCAGTAAATGCATCTATAACCGTCTTGATAAATCCCGCCAAAGAAGCCTTAAAACTCGGTGAGCAGCTCTTGTCACCCTCATCGACATCCTGAACACCTCCCTTGACAAGGCTACCTACTTGAGCACCATCCATATATGTCTTACACGCCACGAGTATATCCAGAGCACTTTGTACGAAATGCCCTGCTACAAAATCCTCAAAGTGCTGCAGCAAGAGACACGACTGGAATTAGTATTTAATGTAGAACCACAAGGTTGAAAAAGCCATTACAAAGTCAAGAAAAAGTCATAAATGACATGCAGCATAAGAAAACTTATTTGATATTAGATGGTTAAGAGCACCAATTCATGCACGTTATGATCACGGCACATAAACAATTTATGAAAATAAGGATACCTTTGGCGGACGCCTCATGGAGAAGACCATTGTTTTAAGATTTAAAATATAAGTGCTCTCATTATACTGCAGTGAGCTTGCTTCTCCTTTAGGTGTCCCGCTCATGCCTGCCCAACCAGGCTCATTGAAATAGGGCTTTGCATTCAGAATTAGCCCTTGTATGGACACCAAAACTTGTAGCATGGTAGACTCACGAGGGATCCATTTCTCCTTCCCTGTGCCGCTCCAAGTGTTGAGAAGACTCAGGCAGACTTTTCCACAAGCATATAAATTAGGATTGAGTCGAAGGCCAAACGAATGGTAGTGAACTTGCTGGCAACAATAGGTTGGGAGGTGTTAGGCTTAAGGTCGAAAGAGGATGAAGTAGTACAGTATTCAGAGAGCTCAGTGGCGGAGCCAGGATTTTCACCAAGGGGATTCAGAAGATTAAAAAAAAGAAAAAGTAAACACGCGAAAAAATCAAGGGGATTGAACAGCTAATATATACATAAAAAAGTTTTGAACTCATATACACAGTGTAATTTTCCGGCGAAGGGGGTTCAGCGCCAGCCTGGCTCCGCCCATGAGCAAGATGCATACCGGTGGAACATTGGGATAGTTGCTTGGAAAGAGAACATCAAAGAAGAAAAGGCCATCATGATATGGAGTTCCATCAGCTCCTTTAATAACTGCCCTCAACAGATCCATTCTTGTTTCATACACCCTGACAAATATTGTATCTGCTCAATAAAAGATGACCAGATGAGAGTGGTCAGAAAAAATTGCAAAAGCATGTGTTATAGTTACACATGGAAGGCTGAGCTTTTAAGACTATACTAGACAGTATTTCTAGGCTTTTGATTGTTAAATTTCAAAAGTTTGATGAAAAAGAAAATCATAACACATCACGTGGAACTTTGCTTGTAATACCAGGCAGATCTTTCTCCAGGATTTTCCATTCCTCCTGTATTTTCTTGGCCCAATTCTTAGAAGGCTGTAACAGGGTGAAAGATACAATAAGAAGATGAAGCCAGAAGTAATTATAGTTTCCGAATCTTACTTGGGTTTAACTAACCTGGTTTTTTGAAGAAGCAGAATAGTGGTGGTCTGTATAATCCTGAACAGTATCAAATTTTTTGAAAAGACGGAGCTTCTTCAGAGTTTCACCTAATTCTGTATGTTGTTCCCCCTTAGAAGCAGGCCCCAAAGGAATTGACGGACTTGCTGTAGTTTTTGCACTTTTAAGCAAACCCGGATTCAAGGGTGCAAAACCCATTTCCTGAGGGAAATAGTTTGCAGCCCCTGACGCATGAGTAAATCCTGATGAGACCTGAGTGGCTGGATTAAGTAATAAATTCGTCCAATCAGGCACTGGAGATCCCATGGAATAATTTGGGGGATAAAAGGCACTAGGAGTAGATTGGTTATCCCAACCATAAGAAGCTGTAGCATGGGATGGATGGAATTTCGTTGTACAATGGGAAAACAAATGTTTTTCTGCCCCGGATGAGAAGTTCATTGAACTACTTTTTCCCTCAAAATTTGAACTTCCGATGGATAATAGTCTCTCTTTGCCTAAAGCAGGTCCTAGAGATGACCAAGACTGCCCAAACTGTGTAGGCTGACTAACAAGAGTTGAGCTGCTAAATGAAGTGGACTGGTTCCTTGATGCCATTTTTCCATCGGCGGGACAAGGCATCCATGGGATTGGAGCCTCAACTCCAGGGGGAATATCCATGTTATCAAAATGTGATTTCATAACACCGTCATACAGTAAGTCATCATAATACATGTCTATGTGCTCATCAATAACATAATCATCTATAGTAATTGGATTATCTGATGCTGAAGGGCACTTCTTCTTTGAAGACTGAGCCCCATCTACTGGTCCACTATTAGCTGAACTACCATGACCAAGGGAAACATCGACCAATATATCCTGCAAGAGAGGTTATTCACAAAATTAGTCCCCCAAAAGAACAGCATAGAAGATGAACAGAACCAGTAGTTTGAGAAGATTGTGTTGGCAATCCTCTTATTACCTTCCCCTTGCCACTAGATTTTACATTTCCCTCACTGTGCTTAACATCGCTGATATCTTCTTCCACGTCAACATCTATTATTTCATGGCAAATAACCTACAAAATAATACATTACCACTAGAATCATAGCCGACAATAAAGTTACAAGGAAAAAAGATTCAAGTGAAAACAATAATTGCTTGTCTTGTCAATAGAACCAAGGTTCCAGCAGAATCTCTTGCAAATTTTGAATAAAAAGCATACATACTCAGAGGCGAACCCAGAATTTTTACGCAACGAGGACACATTATTCTGCTCAACTAGTGCCCCCTAAAGGCTTTTAGTGTTCAGGGTGCCAACTACTTTAAATTAACCATTTTCAAGGTATATATGTATATATATACAGAATTTCATCCGAAGTTTACAGGGTCCGGTGACCCCTCACCCATACACATGGGTCCGCCTCTGTACATACTCACAGAAAAGATATAAAGAGGGGTTAGCTAATCAGAGGGACTCTAGTCCTTTTTCAATTTTCTTTTTTCATGAAGAGGCATTCATACATATAAAAAGATTTCTAAGGGAGGAAATAGGAACTTTTAATCATTTAAAAAGAAAAACTAAATTCAAATTAACTTCTATAAAAGATCATAAAGAACGTACAACAAGATCATGTTGAAGGCAGGGTAAGAAACCTGAGCACTTCTTTTATAACGGTGGCGCACGGGCCAACGCGCGCTCACCTCACTAATCTACTGGTACCTACTACCTCCCACCACCAACTACCTCCCGCCAACACAAATACCAACTAACTCTACCCACCAAGATTTCGACAAATAGGAAAAATCACCTTGAGTATTTTTGCCTCTGCTAGGATTTTGAACTCGGGTCTCCCATGGTTCATTTAGCTTCATTGACGGTTAGGCTACACCCTTAGTGAAAATGCCTACGCACTTTATTCTCGTTATTTTGATAAAGTAATAATTTATTGATGTGTGAAAATTGCCCATATGCAAGTGATACACAAAAACTAAAACGCCTGGACAAGAATGCGGTTTTCCATTAAAGACCCCCAATCAGCTATGCTAACAGGAACTTCGTGGGTGCACCAAAATTTAATAAATCCAAACGATTAGCTCTCAAAACTTTTTCCACCCCATCAAGAG